CAGAAAAAAAACTTAGATGACACCAATCAAAGCATACTTGATCACGATAATGTTACCCAATGAGAGAGTCCAAGCTAAGGCATTAATGTGAAAGGCATCCTGGTACATGATGATCGAGGAAAAGTTATACAGAAGATCTTTCAATCTATCTTACTTGAGATGTGTTGATAAAGAGGAGGTAAAATACGTTCTGAGAGAAATCCACAAAGGAATATGTAAAAATCACCTGAAACCTTGACCTTTAACCTATAAAATACTGAGGTAAAGCTATTACTAGCCTATTATTAAGAGAAATGTGACCAAACTAGTGAAGAAATGTGATAAATATCAAAGGTTTGCCCATGTACAACATCTCCCCTCAGCCAAGCTCACTCCTATCATCAGCTCATAGCTCTTCAGGCAATAAAAAATGGACATTCTCGGACCATTCACCTCAGCCATAGGTCAAAGAAGATTTATCTTAGTAATAGTAGATTACTTCATAAAATGGTTAGAAGTTAAAGCCTTGGCCACTACCATGAAAGTGCAAGTTGAAAAGTTTGTGTGAAAAAAATAGTCTGTAAATTTAGGCTACCTTGGTCCATTATAATAGATAATTGCAAACAATTTAATAATCTGAGGTTCAAGGAATGGTGCTTAAATCTCTATATCAACCTTACGTTTACATCATCTGTCCACCCTCAATCCAACCGACAAACCAAAGTTGCAAATAAGACAATACTAGAAGCTTAAAAAAAAAGGCTCGATGTAGTAATGAAACATAAGTTGATGAGCTACCAAGAGTTCTGTAGGCCCTGCCCTGAAGACAACCATGAAGGTTTCTACGGATGAAACCTCATTTCATTTAGTTTTTGGAATAAAAGTCATAATGCTAGTTGAGATCATCTTACTAAGCTTAAGAGTTAAATTGGAATCAAAAGAGGTAAATGAAAAGATGCTTAGGGCTAACCTAGACTTCATCGAAGAATAAAGGGACAAAACTCTATCCTGAATTACAGCCTACTAGCAAAAGGTAGCCAATTATTCTAATATGAGGGTTTGATGTAAATATATCAAGAATGGTGACCTAGTACTAAGAAAAGTAGAAGCCTTAGGGGTAGATGACTGAAGTGGCAAGTTGGCCCCAACGTGGGAAGGATCGTATGTTGTTAAAGAGGTTATCCATGACACGACCTATAAATTACAAAGCCTAAATGGTGACATTGTCATGAGAACATGGAATGCAGATAATCTAAAAGTTTATTATTAGTAGTTCAGTATAAATTGAGCTCACTTGTACTATTTTATGAATGGCACTGGTACCCAAGTATGTGAAATACAAATCAACTTGGTTACTAGTATATCAGAGCAAATTAAACTCGTACTTGTGTTATTTTATCCTGAGGATATAAAATGCAATTAAAGATTTATTATCATTAGATCGGTTTTAATCGAACTCACAATGGAATTATCTTCAGTTAGCTTGTCTATAAGTGATTTCAGGTCATTTAAAGAAATTTGACCTAAAACTCATAGTTACATTAAACTAACCTAAAACTACTACACGAGTTTATAGTCCAATTATTTACCTTTAGATTCGTAAACCTTTCTCGAACTAATGTAAATAAAAAAATAGTAAAATCGAGTTGATACTTTAAAAAAAAAATTTATTCTAACATAACTAAGTACATTAGTTGGAGTATGAAAAGTCTTCACAAAAAATCTAACCTTAAAGTCAAAAAGTGTATAAAAAGTTTACAAAAACAAAAATGAAAATACATCAAATTCATTCATCAACAATAGTGGGAGGAGTACCCTTGTCAACAACAGTTGGAAGAGCACTCTCATCAACAACAACGAAAAAAATAACCTCAATTTTAATGATCTCCACCTTTTTTTCCTCTATCCCAATGATGGCCCTCAACTTTTCCTCTAAGGCTTGATCTTCATCCTCATCCTCTTTCTCATCTTCCTTGGGATAATTCAGAACATGCCTTAATGTAATATTATTGATATCAATATAAAAAAAATCAAGGTTGAGAGAGAAGAATTTGAACTGCATCTCATTCTTGGCTAGCTGGAAGACACCAAGAACATTTTTCTTAGAGAACTCCACCTTCACTTAGAGACATTTATCAGAGGCCTTGTATTTTTCTACAGCCTTCACTCATAGCTCCTCTTCTTTTTTATCTTGAGCTTTCAACTCAGACCTTAGCCTTGTGATTTTAGCTTGAGAATTATTTAGTTTCAGCTCGATCTATTTTTTCATTGATTTACCTGAGGTCTTGTCCACTAAGATGATATTTAACTTCGCTGCTAGGTCATCTACTTTCTTTCTCAGCTTTACCTCTTTTTTGTGGGATACAGTGAAGCTCGATTTGACACTGCTTAATGTTTTTGAGCTCTTTATGTGCTCTTTAGTAATGGCAATGACATCTTTGTTAACCTTTAACATATGCCCCATTGCAAAATAAGTGTAATGGAAAGCTCAGCCATTATTCTTCATAAGCTGAAGTGGGAACTTTTTTTAGATTGCAAAGAAAGACCTTAGACTTAGAAAAAGTAAAAATAAAAATAGTAAAAAAAATTGAGCTGAGGTTAGAAGGTATTTACTAAGAAAAGGAATTACGACCTTATAGAACCTCTTAGCAACATTAGGATTGGAGATGGGGTTATCTATTAGAGCAAATTCCAACGCCACAATTATCCTCTTCGAGCTAGGTTTTAGCACCCTAGCCTTAGGTCTCTTAGGAGGAGTAGATAACACTTCCACCCGCAGTCTTTTGGTTAGGGGAGTGGTATTCATGTTGACATGAAGGACAAGTCGTAACCTACCATAACTTTTAATTTTTGACTTGGGAAAATACGAGTTATGACTATGTTGACCTCTTTATCCCCTCATGTAACAGGGTCTTGAGCTAAATTTTTTTCCCTTCTTGGGTTCGAGGCATATTGGTATAAGGCAATGTTGAAGTCTTCTTCAACTTCAGCCATATCTATAAAATCAAGCTAACAGTTAGAGAAAATATCAACTCAAAATAAAACTTGATGAGATTACCTCAAACCTACCCCAATACTTTGTATTGTTCATTACTTCCAAAGAGGTCAGCCTATGAGTGTCGATAACGAGCTATCTTTTATGTGTAAAATCCAAACTTTTATCCTAATCTGACAAATCAAGGATGAAAAAAGCCACCAACATGTCCATAAAAGAATTGGGTGTACTTCTTATTTTTAAGCCTCAAACTTAGACTCACCATCTTTATTAGGCTTCTATTTTTCAGGACATAGGAAGAGCAATTTTTAATTCTTTATTGAACTCAAACAATCAATGAAAATCTTTTTATTTGGCTGAGCTGTGATATAAATCACCTACTATTCACTACAATATTTTTTTAAGAGAAAAAGAACTTCCTGAATAGAAAGAAAGATTGAATAATATTTAAATATTGACAAAGAATGATAAAAGAGACTATGTACCAAACAAAATTAATGGGAGCTAAGTGATTGTTAAATTATAAGAATTAAAAATTGAAATGAATAAAGCATGAAGTATAAACCTCAGGCTGGCATAAACAAATCCCAATATACATATAACCAATGTGACTCTAGTTTATCGGTAACTCGATCTGAAGAGTTATATGTTATTATACTATACCCCTCTCTAAAAAAAAAATAGTACCAGAGCTCAAATGTGATAAGATGAGCACATGTTGGAATGGTCTTTGAGATTTGCTTTGCCTTTTAGCTCATTCATCATGTCCTTAGGGATCGCGTCGAGATCACACAGAGTATATATAGGGACATCAATGAGTTTGTCTTGCCTTATAAGATTCTCCCCTCATCATCACTTTTTTTGTCAAGATACTCCCTTCCTCTTACTCCTTATCGAAACCCTCATTGTCAGAAGCATCTGACTTTGGAATGAGAGAGGGATCTCGAAGAATAACAGTGGAAAAAAGTAGCTCAATCTCGAAAAAAGAGGAACGAGGTGAAAACCCCTTAGAAGAGGATGAGATGTCAAGAAAAACTGATTAAAGAAAAGAGTAAAAATAGCAGAAGGTGAAATAGATTGAACCCTAGAAGAAAAAATACCTAAAGAGGAATGAAGGTCAGCCATAGAAGATGAATCGACTTGAGAGATGGAGAAAGCAAATGGATTTTAAAGTTCGAAGTCGATTTGAGCAAATAATTTTTTTTGCTCAAAACTTGCTCTCTTTTTACCTGAGTATTCTCTTCATTACACTGCTACCTTTCTTCATTGAACCAATAAGCCATGTTTGTATAGTTATGACCTTTACTAATAGGGAAAATTAGGTCATCATCCTGCTGCTCTTATTGACCTTCTATTGGCTCTACCTTATAACTCATAGCTCTTTCAAAACTCATACTAGAAGACATGGTTAGAAATACGTACCAAAGCGAAAGTAAAAAAACTTTGAAGGCAAGAAAGTTATAGAGATAAAAAATTTTAGGTCCAGTCGAGAACAAAAAAAGTGAAATATGAAAAGCTGAAGCCCTACTAGCCTCTTTATATAGACCATTTTAGGTCAAAAGAATGGCATGATCCTTGCCACATGTCAAAAAATAGACAGCTAAACATCTTTTCATCTTTCTACTTTAAACTTCCCCTTTCAAATCGTCTTTTTTCTCATTTAATGCTGTCAGATCGATCTAACCAGAAAAACCCCAGATCAAACCAATTGAATCGGACGACTGTCAAAGTTAAGCTGAGAGCCTCGTTCACTTTCAAGGTTCAAAACAAAGGCTCAAGCCTAAATTTTTGAAAAAAAACACAAGTCTCACCATGGCCATGCGAACTTCAACAATAATCTCGAATTATCCTAAACAGTTATCATCTCGATAACCTTTAAATCGATTATGTACTCATCCCAAAATACACATGTGAGATCAAATAACTATCAGGTCAGACTATGGCTCAAAGCTAGTTTTCATTTAGAACCAACCTCCCTCTACAATGTCAGCCTTCAATGAAATATGCATCCACTTGTCCCACACCGAAGATGTCGATAACAAATTTGATAATCTGATACTTAGACCGCTTGATAGGGGGACAAAGTGTTAGGGGATATAATGGTCAAAAGGGCATAATGGTTTTTTTCCTCTCTCAATCTTTAGCAGACAACTAGGGTATCTTGGTCATTTATGTTGACCTAACATATCAAGTCAGTTTGACATCTCCAGTGCCATATCAGCTCCACCTCATCCTAATTGTTTCCTTTTTGTCCCCTTCACATTGCTTATAAATATGAAAACTCAAGCACTATGAAGCTAGGTTCATTTAACTCATACATTTCTCTTCTTCTTATTTTTTTACCACTTTTTTGACTTGATCCTTATTGACTTGTGCATCGGAGTGCAAATGTAGGAAACACCCATTGCCTTTACCTCTAATCATTCATCTTTTTTGTCTTTACAGGATTGCCTTCAGGTCAGAGCTTGGCATAACCAATTGGATATTCAAGGCTTTTTATACCAATGCTCTAATGTTAAAAATCCCTATGATTTACATCCCTATTGCGTAAACCTTCCATTGATATTCTCCTTCCTAACATCGACATGAAAATCTACCTTTGTAATGAGATTAAATCGACATGCTTAAAATGTCAAAGCAGGAAAAGATCAATAGGCAAAGTCTAGGGTTTGTCCTATGCTTCTCCGAATGTTAAGTTCTATTACCATGTAGCCTACTTAAAAGAAGCTTACCTTGAGAACTGGAAAAAAGGTTATTTTCAACCTGATGTTATTGTTGATGATGAGAACAAAAGCCTTGCATTGCAAAATCTTGCTCTAAAAGAAGTAGCTTTTGTCCAAGATAGGGGCCAAAGCTCAAATGTAATGAAAGGGTATCAAATGGTTGATCATATTTCTCAAGCTGGTCATTTCAACTATATTTGGAAAGCCATTGACCTTAATTTCAACCTTGTTTCAAATTTATCAGAACTAGTTATTATATATTTGTTTGTTTGTGGGCTTTCCCCTACTATCTTTCATATCGATTTGGGTACTTTTTTTATTTAAGAATAGGGAATGAAATCCTGCTCATGCACAAATAATTGAACTAAATCCTTGAGTAGAATTTTTACTTATTCCTTTGTTCTTTTTCTTAGTGTGTTTTCAATTAGGCCATAAAGCTTTGCTCTTGAAGTTTGTACTTTATTATTATAAATATATATATATTTGGGTTAAATATAAAATGGCCTTTAAATATGTATTTTCTATCAGTTTAGTATCTAAAGAAATAAAACTATTAAATTGGTACTTTAATTTTATTCCATTATCACGTTGGTACCTTGAACTAATGCTATTAGTACGAAATGCTAAAGTGGCATGAACATCTGATAAGATACTAACATGTGTAAAAAAAAATTCAATCAATGCCACATCATCAATGACATTTTAGCATAAAAAGAAATTTTCAAAAAAAAAAAAGAAATTCAAAAATCTTTTAAAAAGTTCTAAAATTTTTTAAAATTCAAAAAATAAAAAATAAAAAATTCTATTCAAAAAAACAAAAAGCAACATTCATTCTATTCAGTTACATTACATTATATATATATATATATATACGTACTAGTTTTTGGTATGTACATTATGCATGTGTAATACTTATATCTAAGAATTTATTGTAAAAAATAATTTTTTATGCTATGATAATAATGATAAATATTAATAATTTAATTTTGATGTTGATATAATATAAGTAAAATTTGATAACTTTTTATATAATTTTGATTTTGATAACCTTCGATATAATTTTGGTAACTTGTGATATAATTTTAGTAATTATTGATACAATTTTGATAATTTTTTATAAAATTTTAGTAACCTCTTAATGTAATTTTAATAAGCTTTTGATAATTTATGATATATTTTTTATAATTATTGATAAAATTTATGTCTTCATATATTTAATAATAGATTCTTATAGGAAAATACAGGTTTAGTTTTAGTATAAGATACTTTTTTTATACAATAACATTATTATTTTATTCAAATTTATAATTTTTTTCACTAATTTTTTGTTGAATATGTTCATGATAAATTGATCCTAATCCCTAAAATGAAAGTTTTGACTTCATTTTTGCTACTACCGAGGGTTCAATCCCTAGTAACTTTAAGTTTAATAAAAGTTATCAATGATTAACAATTAAGTTATCAGTTATTTACTACTAAACTATCAATAATATACTACTAATTTATGAGTAATTTGCTATTAATTTATAAAAGATTTGTTGTTAAGTTATGAATGATTTACCAATCATTGTTGATGATTTACCATTAAGTTATTGATTATTTATTATAAAGTTATAACTTATTTACTATTAATCTAGGGATGATTTACTAAAAAATTATGAATGATTAACCAATTTATTACTAAATTCTCTCTTATTTACAATTAAGTTATTAGTAATTTACTATTATGTTATTAATGATTTATTATTTACAACTAAATTATTAGTAATTTACTATTAAGTTGTCAATTTATTATTAAATTATCAATGATTTACTATTATAATTTTATATATTTATTATATATTATCATTGATTAACTATTTAATTTTTAATTATTTATCATAAAATTATTATTGATTTATCACTAAATTATCTATGATTTACTACCAGGTTATTACTATTTTATATTAAATTATGTATAATTTACTATTAAGTTATCATTGATTAGTTATTATGTTATTGATAATTTACTACTAAGTTATACTGATTTAGTTTTAAGTTTTCAATTAATAACTACTATCAATTAATTACTGTTAAACTGAAACTCATTTATTATTAAATTATCACTAATTTACTATTAAATTATCATTTATTTATTACTAAGTTATCAATAATTAACTATTAATTTGTCACTTATTTTTTGTTAAGTTATTCTTATTTTAATACTGTTATACATTTATAATTATATTATAATTGATTTAATTATGTATTTATTATTATATTATTATTGATTTACTAAGAAGTTATCAAGTATTAACTACTAAATTACTATTCATTTACTATTAAATTATTATTAATTTATTACTAAATTATCAATGATTACTACTAAGTTGTAATAATTACATTTAAGTTTTCAATGATTAATTACTAAGGTAAAAATTATTCATTATGATATTATCACTGATTTATATATATCCAAAAATAAAATAATCACAATGTATGTTAAATAATGAAGACACCCCATTTTGTTCGAGAACATTTTTTCGGAATGTAATCGTAGTTGAGAGATTTTTGGGATTTAATTCCAAAATCAATTGACATTTGATGTGGAGAGATTGTCGAAATTTAATTTCATAATCAATTCACATTAAAATGATAGAGAGAGATTTTTGAGATTTAATTTCAGAATCAGTTGACATTTGATGTGGAAAGATTGTCGGGATTTAATTCCATAATCAATTCACATTAAAATGATATGGAGAGATTTTTGGGATTTGATTTCAAAATTAATTCTCATTAAGACGAAAATCAAACAAAATCATGGATTTAAGGAGAATTGATTGAGCATGAACCTCTATATAAACCTGTGATCAAAGCAAGGGAGAAAAAAAAGATTATGCAAAAAAAAAAAAATTCTTGAGAGAGAAAAAAAAAGTTAAAAAAAAAACTCTTGAGAAAAAAAAAGATTATGCAGAAACTTTGGAGAGAAAAAAAAAGTTTATTTAGCAACCAAGAAGTTTTAGGTCCTGGGTTTGATTTGTCTAGATTTTCTATGATTAAGATTTGACGTTTTTTGGTTTGAATTTCTGTAGGATTTTGCATTCCAAGGATTTTTGGGTTTTGCTTTCTAGACAATTTGTTGGGTTTTCAAAAATTCCCTGTCAGTATTTGGGATTTATTCGTTAATTTTTGAAAATTACTTAGAGAGAAGACAGAAAAATAACCATTTTAAAAAGAGAGGCATAGTCAAATAATTCTAAAGAAAAGCTTAATGGTGTGGCTTTTATACTTCCTTAACACGACACCATTTTGGATAAGATAGGATTCGTGTGT